TACTGATTCTATTTGGTACACAAATGTGCAGCAGGTGGGGGAGCCTGTGACTTAAGGAAAAAGCTTGTACATGGGTAAAGTTATTCTAAACCATACATAAGAGACTACTAAACATCACCATCCCTAGTAGGTATAAAAGGGCGAGGGATTAAAAAGAACAGAGAAACTAGGTACAGTGCATTCTGACTGGAAATCAAGGCAGGTTTCCCAGATGGCCTAGAACCAGAGTCATGAAGATGCAGAGGGTGCCTCTGTGGGCAGAGGCTGATAGAGGACTTGGCAATGTGGGTCTCCTAAGAAGCTCAGAGCCATTCTAGCACCTCGAAGACTTCTAGCTACACATAAGTAAACAAAGGACAGAAATGGCAATATCAAAACCACTGAGGGGGCTGGGGATGAGGCTCAAGCGGTAGCGCGCTCCCCTGGCATGCGTGCGGCCCAGGTTCGATCCTCAGCACCACGTACAAACAAAGATGTTGTGTCTGCCGAAAACTAAAAAATAAATATTGAAATTCTCTCTCTCTTAAAAAAAAAAAAAAAAAAAAACACTGAGGTAGCACTTGGTAGGCTCCAGGCCCTCCGCATCGTGTTTACTTCTGTCAGAGTCCCTATGAGGGACACACTGTAACCATCTCCTCTACAGCCAGGCTGAGCTCAGATGCCACAGCCTTCCTTCCCAGCCATGTAGTCACACCACCTGCACTTACATTCTGTGACACTCATCACAACAGAACTGGTTTCTTTATTTATCACTTTGGTCCTCACGGAAACTTAAGGTCTATCAGAACAGGAACTTGCAGGTCTCGCTCAATGCATATCATTAGAACCTGAGAGCTGCCACATATCATGCACCAAAGCACTTGTCAAATAGCTGAGTTAATAAATTAGTCTTCACTTGACACATGGAGAAACTGAAGCTGAGGAAGAGAGTCCCTTGCACCAGAGCACTTAGCTGGCAGGGTCGAGCTTGAACTTGGAGCTCCTCTCAGGGTTTCTTTGGTCTCATAACTTCACCTGGTTCTGCATCTTTCTGCTTCTACTGTACTTCCCACTCTGAGAGCCTGTGAGCTATACTTCCCATGTAGCACCAGTACGATGAGCGACAGAGGCAGCGCCCTAGCCTCAGCACTTCCTTCAGGAATTGGTGCACCTATGTTCCTCAACCCAATGGTCCATGTCCCCCACTGCTGTGCTGGACCAACAGAGGTGATCCAGCTCCACAACACATGGTGACAATTATTTGCATATTCATGACAACTTGACCTCAAGGGTTATAATCCTCCAAGAGGGCAGGCTCTTTATTCTGTAATCAATGACAAGCCAAATGCCTGCACAGGGGCCTAGTCATGAAGTCCAGCTACTCAGGAGGATGGAGTGAGCCCAGGAGTTCGAGGCCAGTCCTGGAATACCAGTGTCAACCTGGGCAACTTAATGAGAACTTGTAAAGTAAAATAAAATAGCCTGGAGGTGTAGCTCAGTGGCAGAGCACTTTCCTACTTTTCAGTCTCAAACACCTCAAAAAAAATCACTGGACCCCAGGCATGTCACACAGAGGTGTCTCCAGAGAAAGGTCCTAAGAGATCCTTAGTAAAGGGAGAACATGACTCAGGACCAGTAGGGCTCTTGGCACCCAATCAGAGGCACAGAATGAGGTTTATTTAGGAAGTAGAGACACATTCAAGGGAGAATCTGGACTACCTCCAGGGTGAGAGACATGACGTGGGGGTTCCTGGCTCTTCTTTTAAAGAATACTTGGTGAGGGGTGGTGTGTAGAATTGATATTATCATGGCGATCTCGGGACACTGTCTGGTGGTCTGGCCAATCTCAGAATCCTCAGGCTCACAGTGTCTTCATTCTCTCATTAAAGTTCCCTAAATTGTAGGTTCTTCAAGATATGTATCTGACTTTGCTTAATCTGTTTGTTGGAGATTAATCAGTAGTGCACAGAAATTTCCCAGGAATTTGGGAACAACAGGCTTGGAGGAGACAGGCTTAGGGATTACAAGGTTGGGAAAAGGATGCAGAAGTTCTGAATTAAATTCTCATTCTCTTGTCCTTCCTTTTGTCTCCTTTCCACCAATTTCTTGTTTCTTCTATTCTGCCTCATATAACCCTGGGTAATTTAGCAAGAGCCTGTCTCAAATAAAGTTTTTTTTTTTTTTTAAACAAAGGGCTGGGGATGTAGTTCACCTGCAGAGCACTTGCTTAGCAATGCACAAGGCCCTGGTTCAATCACTAGCAAGGCAAAAAAAGAAAAAGAAAAATCATGAAGAGGAATCACCAGTGGCACCCAAAGAGCTCCTGATGCGTTCAAGGAGAAGGAAGCAAGCCATGGGCCAGACATGCACACCTTGTGATGCTGTGAAAGGGTAAACCCGGGCATGTCATGCACACACCCACTAAGGAAGCTGGCAGAGGCTAGCAAGCTGCTCATCTTGTCCACTGCTCTGCTCAGTGCTGTGAACAGAACCATACTCAAAAAAGCACGCCCCCAAAACCCAAACAGAGGCAAAGAATTTATCTAGAAAGATGCACACCAAATTCTGGAGGGGACCAACGATAAGATCATCAACCATTCACCTGTAGTGGAGGGGGCATGTGCACATCAGCAATCAGCACAAGCCTGGTAAGGTTTTGCATCTTGTTTGCTTTCTCAATCCCAACTCAGTACCCAGAGGTGGAAGAAAGAAGAGGAAGAGGGGCCAATCCTGGTGATGTGCACCTGCAATCCAGCAACTCAGGAGACGGAGACATGAGGATCTAAAGTTCTGAGCAACTAGGGAGACCCTGTCTCAAAAAAAACAAAAAGTGATAAGGATTTTGCTCAGTGGTAAAGCAGCCCTGGATTCAATCCCCAGTACAAAGAAAAGGAAGGAAGAGGAGGAGGGGGAGAGGGAGGCAGAGGAAGAGGTGGAGGAAGAGGAGAAAGGGGTCAGATGAGGAGGATGGAGGGGTAGGGAAGAGGGGAAGTGGGGGATGAGGAAGAGCAGAGAGTGGAGGGGGCTGGAGGAGTGCTGGAGGTGGGGGTACCTGAGGAGAGGTGAGGGAGAAGAGAGCCGGGGAGGAGGACAGAGAGAACGGCTGGGTAAGGTACTCCTCCTTCGTTTCTTGCAGGCCAATCCCTTTCTCAGTGTGCAGAAGCCAACTCTCCAGGAGAGAACGCAGGACAGAAGCCTCGGCCTTGCCCAACTGAAATCAGTGCTATACCCCCGAGTGACAGCCAAGCCAGGAGCCCGGCGTGGTCCACCCCCCGCCCCCGTAACCCCAGCGCCCGTGGTTTAACTCCCCCAACTAAATAAACCAATAAAGTCAAGCAAAAGCTGCCCAGTGCCGGGCAGCGCGGTACAGGGATGTTACCGCCACCTGCTGCCACACTGGATGGACTGGCACAGCTGGCGTCCCCAGCAGGTGCCCTGCAATAGGCACAGGGAGGACCAGGAGCCATGGGGTGGGGCGCTGGGCGATCAGGGTTGGGCGAGCAGACCTCAGACTAGGAGCGCATGGACTGGGCCCTGGGTGAGTGTCGGGGGGCTGGACTTCCCAGCCAGACACCTTGAGAGGGAACGGGAGGCAGGGGAAGCCAATGTGGGCTCGAGGGTCACCATGGCGTGGGCCTCGCCGCCCTCTGGGGGTGATAGCCACCTAGCACGGGTGGGAAATGCCCCTGCCCTGAATTCCGCGTCGTTGGAGAGGAGCGCAGGGGCCTCTTGGAGGAAAATACATGGCCTGGGATAAGTCTGCACTCTTATCGCTCTCAGGTCGCTTCATCACAGAATCTGCTGGTTCCCTTTCATCACTGTGATGGACGCATCTTGGAAACCCCTGCGGGGCATGGACACCTCTGGAGTCCGGAGCCCGGTCTAGGCACATGGAACCGTCTGTCTCACTGGGTTCCCGCCACCACTTCTAGGACCTCTGCAGGAGCAGCCCCAGCACCCTCCTACCTTTTAGCCCTGGATTTCTTCAGTCAACCTTTAGAAAAAAAATCTAGACATGGTGGTTTAACTGGGATCCTCACAAAATCCCTCTTTCACAATTCATGTTCCATAAATGCTCTGCAAGACCTCTGAGGCTTCATGACCTGTTTAAATCTGCAACTTGCTACTTATGCCGGAAGTTTTGCCCTGTATGCCTCTGCCCCTCCAGGAACAATCCATCATTCTACATTAGGTTTATGTGGAGATGTAAACACACACACACACACATACACACACACACACACTCTCTCAACAACTTTTCCATGAATACTTTCATGTTATTGAAGGTGACTGAGAATATTAAATTATTTCTCTTTGTCTCTTTATTTATTTATTTATTTATTTATTTATTTGCATTCAATGGGCTTTTCTACAATACAATTACTCTCAGGTTTAAAACAGAACCCCAAAATCAAGTCATTTCACATTTTTTTCTTTAGTAAGGATTTTTTCCTGTATAAGTTGTTTGATGTTTTAAGATGTTACTGTATCAAACAAAGGCTTTCCTACATTGTTTACATTCACAAGGCCTCTCTCCAGCATGAGTTCTTTCAAGTAAATAAAAGTGACTCAATGTAGTGAAGGATTTCCCACACTGCTTCCATTAGAAAGGCTTCTCTCTAATATGAGTTAATTCACACATTTTAAGGTAAGCAGAAGTATTGAAGGCCTTCCCACATTGTTTATGACCACAAAGCTTTTCTCTTTTATGAAATTGTTCATGTATGTGAAGGCAAGAGGAACTACTGAAGGCTTTCCCACATTGTTTACATCCATCAGGCTTTTCTGAAGAATGAGGTCTTTCATGTCTGTGAAGGTGAGAAGATCTATAGAAGGCTTTCTTCCATTATTTACACGTACCATAGGTTTTTTTTCCTTTATGAGTTCGTTCATGTGAATGAAGCTGACTGGATCTACCAAAGACTTTTTTACATTGTTTACATTCATAGGGTTTTTCTCAAGTTTGAGTTTGTTTCTGTATTTAAATGTAAAGGAAGTAGTGAAGGCTTTTCCCAATTATTTACATTAATAGGGCTTCTCGACAGTATCACTTTGTTTACGTCTTTGAAGATAAGAAGATATAGTGAAGGCTTTACCACATTACTTACATTCATAGGGCTTCTATCCAGTATGAGTTCGTTTATGTCTTTGAAGATAACAGGAACGACTGAAGGCTTTCCCACACTGCTTACATTCATAGGGCTTCTCTCCAGTATGAATTCGTTTATGTGTCTGAAGTTGAGAGGACTGAGTAAAGGCTTTTCCACATTGCATACATTCATAAGGCTTCTCTCCAGTATGAATTCGTTTGTTGCCAAAGAGAAGCAGAATAAACAAAGACTTTCCCACATTGTTTACATTCATAGGGCTTCTCTCCAGTATGAATTCGTTTATGTTGCCAAAGAGAAGTAGAATAAACAAAGACTTTCCCACATTGTTTACATTCATAGGGCCTCTCTCCAGTATGAGTTCGTTTATGTCTATGAAGGTAAGAGGAACAACTGAAGGCTTTCCCACATTGTTTACATTCATAGGGCCTCTCTCCAGTATGAATTCGTTTATGTACTTGAAGGTAAGAGGAATGACTGAAGGCTTTCCCACACTGATTACATCTGTAGGTTACCTCTCCAGTATGAGATTGTTGGTATTTTTGAAAATATATGGAACAACTGCATTCTTTTCCACATGTCAGACATTCATAAGATTCATTTACACTGTGCACTGATGCTTGTCTTTGAACACTTGTACAAGAAATTAAAGATGTTTTGTTCAGTTTAAGTTTATATGGCTTCCCTCCATTGTCCTCATTCTTAAATGCTTTCTTTGCACAGTGAGATATAACATGCCTATTGAGGAAAAAGAGATATATAAAGACTTGTCCAAATTCTGGTGATGACTAGGCTTTGGAATCTCACTAAAAGTTCTTCCACAATAAGTACCTGTTTATATTTTTCCAGAACCTACCATATGACTTCTGTAAAAACATTATATGGAAATATTATATGGCTCATTAATGCTTTTATATTCATTAGTTGATTTTCCACTTACACTATTACCAGTGTCAGGAAAAGTATTACTTTTCTGTCATGTCCAAACTGTTTGAAACTAAATGTAATGATGACTTTGTAACATTGATTCTCACAGCTAGTACCAAAATAATGGTATCAGGACAGCATTTTTCAACATTGTCAACAAACTATTTATTTTTGAAAACACTAAACATGTATCTTACATTAAAGTTCATATTTATGGTTAAATAAAAATAACTATAATTCATATCATGGGTATTTTATCTACTTGTTTGTAAAATTATAGGACATGTTACAATTCCCTCCAGACACTCTGTTTCCTCTAGCGGACAGAATTACCTTAGATCTCTCCTGGGATTTCTGTTCTCATCTTCCCATTTGTCTCCTAAAATGTAGACATGAAACAATCATTATGAATTATCAAGATTTCAGAAGAAAATTATGAGGTTAAAACTATATACAAACCTAATGCAAAAATGAAAATGAAGAAAAAGGAAAAAGAATATGGGATTTATGCTGCAGAGTGCAAGACATTAGGCCCAATATATTCCCCATGCATTATCATTCCACATTCTAAATTCATGAGAATAGAACTCCCACTTGCCAGGCCCTGGGGCCAATGCCTGTAATTCCAGCAGCTTGGGAGGCAGAGGAAGAAGGGTCTCAAATTCAAAGCCACCCTCAGAAACTGATGGAGGCCTTGTCTCTAAATACAGTGCAAAAAAAGGGATATGGATGTGGGTCAGTGATTGAACACCCATGGGTTCAATCCTTGATTTGGGAAAAAAACAATAACAACAACAAAACAATCTCCCAATTACTCAGTGTTTGGTTATATGATGAAAAAAAAAAACATCCTTACGTATAGAAGCCAGGTTGCTAAGGACTTCCTGCATCACATCTCTGTAGAGATTTTTCTGGGAAGGATCCAGCAAAGCCCACTCCTCCTGGGTGAAGTTCATAGCCACATCCTCAAAGGCCACCGAATTCTAAAGTATTCCAGAAAAGTGTAGTGCAGGCCAGGAGAGATTGACAGCATTAGGGCTCTATTCTCATCATGTAGGATATTCTCACACTTCTGTGGTCTCCAAATATTTATTCCATGATTTTGTCATCAAAACATGTACTCTTATAGTGCACTCACTTGCCCAAACAGAGGGATTCCAATTTAAGGCCTGAACTATACAGAAAAGCATCAGCAGAGCAAACACACCCTTCTTGTTGTAGAGTCCAGTGAGTAAGGCATGCTGCTGGTCACCCCTAAATCCTCTGCAGGTTATCTAATACATGGAATATTGAAGGTCTCCTACTTCATGTGCAGAGAAGATCTAACATTAGTATCCTGAGAGTACCTACCCTAAGAAGTCCCTACTGATAAAGCTGGGCTTTTTTTCTAATAGAGAGAGCTAAGGACGTGGAAGGCATCCCACCAAACTAAGCAGTAACATTGGTCATAGTGCTGAGACTGTAGGTAAACATACTCGTTACTGAACCTCCGCCTTCCTTCAGAAATCTTATTATTTTGTTCCACTGTTACCTTAGAACCTAAAGAATCACCCATCTGAAAATAAACAAGTGAAAAAACAAACCCTATACTCAAGGAGATTTGGAGCTTCCTAGTAGACAATATTTTTTTTTTAAGAGAGAGTGAGAGAAGAGAGAGAAAGAGAGAGAGAGAGAGAGAGAGAGAGAATTTTTTTTTCCTACCTTTCCGTCAAGGCCTTTCTAACTAAGCATGCCTTAACATTTTTTCATTTTCACACTGAGGTTTATTATATACCCTTGTTGAAAGCCACAGGTGAAGGGGAGAATTTTTTTTTAATATTTATTTTTTTTAGTTCTCGGCAGATACAACATCTTTGTTGGTATGTGGTGCTGAGGATCAAACCCGGGCCGCACGCATGCCAGGCGAGCGCGCTACCGCTTGAGCCACATCCCCAGCCCTCCTAGTAGACAATATTTAATCCAGGTAGTCACAATGTGTTCACTGGGGACTGAGAAAAATTAGAAGACCGCAACTTGTTTACTCCAGACCAAGTCTAAGCAAGCAGCACACAGAACAATAATTCTTAAACAACAAATTTTTAATAATACTAATAATATCAAAGCAGAATAGGGTAAATAGAAAGATGCATGTGTTGTAGGAATAACTCAGGGTCAACAAAGGTCACCTCTTTCAAATGATAGCCTTACAGAATTTTAGAAATCTCCAAAATAGACTTCATAGTGGTCAAAAAGTAATTTGCCAAGCCTAGTAGGTATAAAAAAATGTGTAACAATTGTCAACATTGTCTGAATCAGAGACTGCTGGTTTTCTAACACACAGTGAGGAGCCACACAAAAATGTTTTCTTCACAAACATGTTTGGTCACATAGGCCACACATACAGGGTTGTCTGTAGTAAGGGGACTCTGTGTGTGCAGTGATGCTGGTATAAAAAACCTAATGCACTGTCAACTGCTGGGGAGGTTTGTGGCCCAGGAACCACTGATACCACAGAGCCTAGGTGTGTAAGAGGCTGTGCCATCCAGGATCATGTGAATAGAGAGATGATTGTGCAATCATGAGGTGGCCTGGTGGAGGTCCACAGCAATCAGCAGAGTGTCTTCTGTGTCCCACCTCTGGAGGGACACAAAGCCAAAGAGTTCTCAATATGTCTCAAAATATAATGAAGTCTAAATTGAAATTCAGCAAGAGTTTTCATCAACTTGGCATGTTTTTACTATAAATAACTCTAATGTCTTTTTTCTTTTTTTGGTACTTGGTGTTGAATCCGGGGAAACTTATCCACTCAGGCACATCCCCAGAACTTTTTAATATTTAGAGAGGAACTGTTGAATAAAATGGAACAAACTATATTATATGCTGTATAAATACATCACAATGAATTCCAATATTGCATTTATCTATAAAGCAGATTATTTTAAAGTGAGAAAAACAGATAGGGTTGGTGCTGAGGGAACACAGACATGTTGGGCTCAAGGGGCAGGTAAGTTTCCTGCAGCTGGGGATCCTCCCACCTGGTCCTGCTCACTGATAGTCTCCATGATCACCCTCCCAGGAGACCTTGATTCCACTGTGTGAAGCTTTTCAGGTTTGCATAGCACTGCACTGGGGTGGGTGATTCAGTTTTTGATCCTTCACAACTTGTGATAGAAATCACTGCTCACCTGGCTCCTCAGTACCAGCATCTACAGGCTGTCTACCTGTCTCCAAGAAAGCAGAACAGGGCTCTGAGGAGACAATGTCCCAAGGAGGCAGCAGTCTAGATGAGGCCTGTTACAGGAGATTCCTCAATTCCAAGGCCCCCAGCTGCTCCTCTGAGAGGCTGCACCCCAAAACTCATGCTGTCCTCTAGGAGGAGCTGACCCAGGCTGAAATTCCCTGCACCTGCAGGACACAGGCCAACTGTGGGCACCTTGTGGCAGCCCCAGGAAAGGCCAGGATAGCGGCTCAGGACACAAGCCTTTGCAAAGTGTCCAAAGAGAACCTGTGCCCAAAGATATTAAGGTATCTGTCCTGGGAAAACCAAGGACAGACCCAAGAATTTCCACAGTTGAGCTCCACAAGACTTTTCTACTTTGCCCTCGTGGCAGATATTCACAAACAAGAAAGAAATTTTCAGTGAAAAATTGATAATTAAAATACTATGCCCACTTGAATGTAGTGAGGGAACAGATGATGATGCTGTGAACTGGAGGAGGAGCTGGAGTCTGGAAAGGCGTAGACAGGGTACAAGATTAGGGGTCTACCACCAGCCCTAAGAGGGGCTAGGCTGTGAGAGGAAAGGGAACTTGAGACCCTGTTTTCCACACATGTGGAAGATGGGGTGGGAAAGGTGAGTGACTCCTGGGGTAAAAGTGGGGACAGTGACCCCCTCGACCAATAACTTTGCACATAGAAAGCCCATCCCCAAGTCAAAATCCCCTGAAAATTGCCTGCCTTCATTGCACACTGACAGAGTCCAGCCCCAGCTGGTTCCCACCAGTTCTAACCAGCCCACCCTCCCTAAGCAGTCCTGGCCCCACACACTCACCATTTCCTGCCTTCTGGGGAGTCCTGACTTCCTTCCTGTGGACCTCATAGCATCTTCAGGTCACAGGGAGACAGATCTGAGCCAGAGCCACTTGGGCCTCACACAGCAGAGAAGACACAGTCCTGGAGATGGATTCTGACCTGCGCAGGGTGAGAGATGAAGGCCTCTGAGACTGTGGAAGGCCCCCTCTCCCACCAGCTGCCTGCTGACTGGCCAGGGCTCCACAAGACCCCTCTCTCACCCCAGCCACATATGCACATATGGGGTTGTGAGTGATAGAAGATGTCGCAGACTCCTGGATAAAGAAACCCAGAAAAACTGAATCTTGGCAAAAGCCCTTTTCAGGAAAATTTCCTCACTGCAAAGGGACCTATCCTAGTGAGGGGCGGGGGAAATATCCTTTTAGGCAGAAGTGACCCTGGCTTTCCAAACCAGGCCCTGTTTTCTCTCTGCTCTCAGGAGGCCCTTTCTGCATCTTGTGATGGACACAGTCACAAGCTTGTGTGAGGAATTACATACTTGGTGTGAAGACAGCCAACCTTACTGACCTAGGAGAAGATGGGTGTCAGGTCAGGCCTGACTGGAAATGAAGCAGAGAGACTTGCATCACTTGGGAAGAGCCTGCAGCTACATGGCCAAGGCTACCTCCCATTTTAACTCTGTCAATTCATTTTTCCATCAAGAAAATTGAAATAGAACAAGGAAATATAATTAAGTGCATGCAAAATTTGGTATATGGCAATAAAAGCAATTAAGATTAAAGAGCAAACGATTAAACTAGCTCAGATAAGGAGCCTGCTTCACCCATAGTTCAGAATAAACCCTACTTGCAGTGGGGTAAACACATTCCCATGTTGGGAGCCAGACTGATTGCTGAAATATGGTCCTGACCGAACACACCAAGGACACTCACTGCCACAGGGCCACGGCACATTCCCCAAATCCAATCCCTCCTCTGTGCTCCTCCTTCACTGATCAGACACCATCACTCAGACTCTAGGGTGAGAACTGTTAGTAAAATGCCCAGGTTCCCTTTATTTGCATAGTAAGCCTTTACTAGCCTGTTTGGGATATCCCCATGACCGTTCCTGTGCTCAATGTATTTTTTTTAAAGCTGTAAGAGGGAGGCATTTTTTTTTTTAATCAACCCCTTCAACAAACTTTTCCAGGAAAAAGGGCATTTTCTACCTAATAACCATTTGATGATGTTCCCTTACCCTCCAGTGATTCTTAAATCCACAGAACAGAGGAGTGTACAGGTGTTTTGTTTTGGTTTGGTTTGGTTTGGTTTTGGGTTTTTTTTTTTCCCATCTTCTTCTTCTTCCACCCCCTTTTGGTCGGTTTTCAGAATTAGAAAATATATAGTGCAGTGAGAAGATCAGTAAATGCCCTTAACTCTGAATTCTCCTGGGTCTCTGGCACAGTGCAACTGAGAACTCTAGGACCTGCCACTCCAGCCACCATGAGGATTGGCAGGTCCAGGTGTTGAGAGTTGATGTGACAGATTGACAGAAGCTCATGGAGAGAGGTCTCCAAAAACCCAGATGGAAGGAAGCTTCGATCTCAACAGTATTGCCAGGTTCATCACTAGTTTGCATCCTGGGAATTAAGATAAGTTTGACCCACAGATGATCAAGAAAAAGGGCTGGGCTGGGGATGTGGTTCAAGCGGTAGGTAGTGCGCTCGCCTGGCATGCTTGCGGCCCAGGTTCAATCCTCAGCACCACATACAAACAAAGATGTTGTGTCTGCCGAAAACTGAAAAATAAATATTAAAAATTTTTTTAAAAGATGGGAGAGAAGATGTCGGCGAATGGAGTGCTTCACCCCAGTGTACCGCATCACTGTGCGGGTGAATGACGAGTTAGAACGGCCAAAAGCTATCTTCTTAGGAATTTCCAGCAAAATTGGGGTGCACTGAAACCTAGAGGAAGGATTTCCATGGCCCAAGGATCGGTTTCTGGGGCTCAACCGCGAGTGAACTGTCCACCCAGAGATTCAAGCTGTTTGTTCAGCGGCCCGCCCCGATGCTGGGAAGCAGCATGCTAGCAACGCAGAGAAACGGTGCTGCAGATTCTATGGGCTCCTGCCAGCTGTGCCCTCACTATGCTCTGGGCTGAGTTCTGGGTTTGAGACGGGGGAAGGAAGCGGTCCAGTTCTGTCCTCCACACAGGTCAGCCCACTGAGGAAGCCAGCAGCCACCATCTTGGAGAGCTGACGTCACCATCGCCAGTTTTCGACAGATTGCAGCTCATTCAGCGATAGAACAGGTTTGTGTCATTTAGACCATCTCCCATAGAGCGGGGAAATCGCATAAAATCTCTCCCCAGCTTTCCAGGGGCATGATTAACAAAGTAAGCGTAAATAGAGGTGTGGGGAAAGGTAAAGGCACCTGACCTCCAACTCCCCCCTCCCACCAGTGGCTAAAAACAAACCTGTCTTGCCAGCTCTAGGAGGAGGGGCTAGCAGAGGGAATCAACACAATAAGGTGCCGGTTCCCAAAAGCTGCGCTCCACGTCCAGAAAACTGCAGGCACAGAGTATAGCTTAAACTGCTGAGAGGTATCACACTGGGAAAGGCCTGGCTGGCAGAAGAAGCCAGGGGACTAGAAACCAGGAATAAACCTAAGCTCAGGTTTTAAGAGACATGGAGTGGGGGGAGCAGCCTCACACGGATTGTTTCCTACAGCCAGAGGGCAAAATCTTGGCCCGGAAGGCACAGCACCACCTACTAGAAGCGAAGAAAATAGAAGCCTAACAGTGTCCCTTTTTTCTTTTCTTTTTTTAAAATTTTTTTTAATTTTTTTAATTTTAATTTTTTTCTTTTCTATAATTATATTATTATTTTTTAAAAGCAATTTTAATTTTACTGCATTTTATTATTATTTTTATTATCATTTCTTTTTCTTCTCTATTCTTTTCTCTTTCTTTCCTCTCTCCCTCTCTCTTTCTAGGTTTGCTTCCTTACCTTTTCCCCATCTTTCCTCTTAAGCATGACTACCCAGATTATGTACAACTTACTAAATGCAAATAGACAAATACTACGAATCAGTCCATAGTCCGCCTAAGCCCTTAACTACCCCCAAGTACTCCTGTCTATTCTCTTGTTAATACCCGCCTGCATTTGAGCAACCCCCCAACGTAGCTAACATATACTAACCTCCATACCATCAAATCACCCGACCTCAACATAAAATCCTAAGTTCAAACCTCAATTCTATACATGCCATCAAATTCTGTAGGCCTCATTAATGAAACTAATGAATTTACTGTAAATCACAATTAAATCCAACATCTCTAAACATTGTCTCCCAACACAAAGCAGAGATATTGGAACTATAAAAACCAAAACAAATTTAAAGAAGAAAACAGAAACACAGCAGTCAAACAGAGTTGGAAAGTAACGTGAGCACCATGAAAAAAACAAGGGAAAAAAGGATTACAAACGATGCAGGACAACTTAAATTCACAGGAGAACCTAGAGGCATCAGAAAAATGGACAGAGAAAGAACTCAAGGCATACCTGACTCAGATGGAATGGAATCTTAGAGAAGACATTAGACAGCAAGTCCAAACAATGAAAGTATACTTTCAAAACGAATTACATAGGCAAATTCAAATGGCAAAGAACAAGCTCTACCAGGAGATAGAGATTTTTAAAAAAATCAAACAGTAATCCTAGAAATGCAGGAAACCATAAACCAAATTAAAAACTCAAATGAGAATATTACAAATATTACAAATAGACTAGAAAATGAAGACAAAGTTTATCAACTTGAAAAGAATATAGTCAACACAGAAAGGAAGCTAAGAAATCACCAGCAATCTATCCAAGATATATGGGATGTCATAAAAAAAAAAAAACTTGAGAGTCATCAGGATAGAAGAGGGTATAAAGGTTCAAACCAAAGGAATGAACAATCTATTGAATGAAATAATCCTAGAAAACTTCCCAGATATGAAAGATGGAATGGATTGCCAAATCCTGGAAGCCTACAGGACCCAAACATACAAAACCATAATAGACCAACTCCAAGACACATAGTTATGAAGATATCCAACATACAGAACAAGGAGAGAATATTAAAAGCTATGAGAGAAAGAAGGCATATTACATTCAGGGGTAAACCAATTAGGTTAACGGCTGATTTTACATCACAGACGTTGAAAGCAAGAAGATCCTGGAACAATGTATTGAAAAATAATGAATGAAAAATAATGGATTCCAACCAAGAATACTGTATCCAGCAAAATTAAGCTTCAGATTTGACAATGAAATTAAAATATTTCATGATAAACAAAAGTTAAAGAATTCGCAGCCAGAAAACCAGCACTGCAAGGCATTTWGAGCAAAACACTACAAGAAGAGGAATTGAAAAACAGCACCCAAAACTAACATTAGGAGGTAACTCAGTAAAGGGAAGAAAAAAAAATAACTAAAAAGGAAAAATGAGCCATATTAAAATAAATAAATAAATAAGCATGACTGGAAGTACAAACAATATATCAATAGTAACCTTAAACATTAATGGCTTAAATTCACCAATCAAGAGACAAAGGCTAGTAACCTGGATTCAAAAAAGAAATCCAACAATATGCTGCCTTCAGGAGACTCATATGATAGGAAAAGACATACACAGGTTGAAAGTGAAAGGTTGGGAAAAATCATACTACTCACATGGTCCTCGGAAGCAAGCAGGAGTCGCCATACTCATATCGAATAAAAATCAACTCCATGGGGGCTGGGGATGTGGCTCAAGCAGTAGCGTGCTCGCCTGGCATGCTTGCAGCCCAGGTTCGATCCTCAGCACCACATACCAACAAAGATGTTGTGCCCGCCGAGAACTAAAAAATAAATATTAAAATCTCTCTCTCTCTC